GGTATCAAGTAAATATTATCAGCACTGATTATTTGTTTCCGCTTCTCTACTCCCGACTCCCATCTCCGCTGATTAACTAAACTTTCTTTTATTTCCGTATCTGTGGAACATATAATATTTCTATAAGAAAACGGGAATTTTTTTTGTGCTCTCTAACCTTGTAGTTACAGAAAAAGAAATCGAAAGTACTGGCGTCACATATTATGTATGTGAGTTTGACGATACATCAGATTAAACTGTGCTGTTAAGAAAACTCATAATTCAATTTTTGATTCTTACTATCGGTGCAGCAAAAGATTGGTATATTATGCACAAAAATCCCTAATGAACAAATGCACCGTAAACATTCACATTTGAGACGACCCCGTTCATTTTACCTGTTCAAGTCAGTATCAGCAGCCGGTACCGAGACTATCCGTAAATCTCTGTTAAGCACTGTCATGATTATGCTTTTTTTAAATATGGTGAATATCTGACGCAGTGGTTTTTTCCGCGAAAAAAGGTGTCTTTATATTTGAATTTATAACAAAACAACAATACGGTCATATTAATCGAACGTGGCAGAAACAAAATACCCAAATGCAAGGTTCTATAAATACATATTAAATTTTGTAAAAGATTGACTTGAAAGATCTTATAATGCTTTATATTTGAACTACAAGTGTATACCACGGTATATTTAAATTTGGTAAATTCAGTATATACTGTTCAATTTCATTCACTTGAAATTCAAGTACAGCAAATTTCTGTGAGTTAAAATAACTGACTATACGTGACCCAAATGATTACTAAATTGCTATATGTATCCACATACAGATTTTTTTATAGAAAATAACAGGACAAAACTGAAAGTATTTCAAATAAGTCTACTTACGGTCCATTTCTACTATCGTATGACACTGTGTAAGTTTAATAAAAAATGACGACGAGGTACCTATAACGTTAACGGCATATGAATGTTGAATATAAGAATAAAATAAATTTACAGATGTGCATTATTTAAAAACATACCAACCATTTGTATGTTTTAATTGTATTCTACTTGTCCTGGTGACAACTGTTATGTGCACATTCTTATCAATGGAAAGCTCAAATGGCACAGAAGGTAACATTTAATATAAACGTAAACAAATATGTGGGGGATGTAACATAATATTGGTTAATAAATTATTAGGTGTCTGAAATTTTACAATGGATGACATCATGTTCATATATCTTTAAAAAGAGTCCATAACATTTTTCATAATGACATATCTACAGGAACTGCAACACGAAGCATCACATCTGCTAGCTATAGAACGGAGACAAATATGGTAAATAGAACACGCAGAACAATGTAATGGATTGAAATTCCTCATGTCTGATTTTAGTCTTATTTGGAAGATTTGATATAATGACCTGTCGTAAAGTGCTTAAGTGGTTCAGTTGTTATGAAAAGTGTGGTTAAAGATCAGAAGGGAAGATTTTCCAAAATGAAAATTTATATTTGACATTTTGGGCAATTTATGCGGGAGAAAAACTTTCTGTGGAATCATACTCAGGAAATGTTCCAAAAAAATCTATCTACGCTTGATTGCCCGAGATAAGTGACGTTTTCAGGCACGTTTTGTTAATATACCACAAATAATATATCATATATGGATACTGTAAAATTAACACCTTGTCCACGATTCAATGAAAAAATTATGAAATTCATTATTGATTATTTTAACCCAAAAGAACGTTGTAACTATACAGAATAGTCTTGATGCATACAGATCAGCATATACATGATACATGTATATTAAGCTTTTATGTAAATATCCCAATCAGAAAAAGAGAAATAGCATATTGAAAATTGGTGTATCCCTTTTTTATAAAACAACACACACAATGAAATATGTAGCAGACTTAGAGTGAGAGCTCCCTTACCAAGTTAACGCGAATTTTACTAGCAGAAAAAAACCATGAACTATTGGCGCTGCGATTAATACTTTGATCATAATCTTGACCCTAGCAATCTCCTTAAATAGTTTGATGAGTAAGCTGGGTTTTGGTATCTATGATTTTTTTCTACAATCATCACTACCCTGAAAACAACAAATGCTTGTGCATGACACATTGCTGTTTATAGGATCCACGCGAATGTCTACAGATAGCATTGACTTTGCATGTGCAGACCAGCTCCTGTAAAAAATATAAGAAGACGATGGACCTTCAAACTTTCCTCGAAGTATGGAGTTGTTCCTCATTGTCCATCCATATTTCATAGGTGATCTCATTGTTTGGAGATATTGGCGGTATAAGCATTCACTCAGACAAAGACTTGGAGTAAAACTCGAAGAATGTGTTTTCTAAATGATCCATCTGCAGGAGGTATTATCGCTGAGGAAACATCCCTATATACCACAGACTTTATTCTTAATTCTATTGCGATCACAATGTTATGATTGAAAATTGCTTCTTGAGTCATATAGATCAGCAATAAATTGTCTTCCAACTGCGACGGCTGTTTTTTGAAGACCAGCTAGATTTGGCAAATTTTGACACGTGTATGGGGTTTGTTTCAACGTCTTACAAACTGTTCGTTTGCGATATCCGAAGAAAGACGACGTCATATTGCATCCTGTAAGAACGTGAGCAGTACCCAAGTCATATCAGACACGTACTTTCTGTTGGTTGAACATGGTTCCCTTTGCCTGTACTGCTCTGTGCATATATATAAGCGGACCAAATATTTTTATTATTCTTACAGAAAGGCAAACTTGACATGAGCGAAGTTGTTTTCCAACCCAGAGCAAGGATCTTTCTTCACCGAGTTTTATTTTGACTGTTACTAAGTCTGTTCGACAAATCAGATTGTTCAAAACCTGAAATACTACTCAATCTATAGAATGAATTGTGTGTTTGCCTTAAATATTTTTTGCATTCATACCAACATTGTCAGATCCTTCTTGATTGACGTCTTTACCTGACACTTGAGGATATATGGATTATGGGATGTATGACCTAATCTGTGATCGTATCTATTCATGATTTGCTGACCTTGTCAGAAATTTTCAAACTTCAGTGTACCACGGGCAAAAGCCATGTGAATGTAAAAACCATATTCATGATACAGACGAAGAGCCACTGCTAAACTAAAAGGGGGTCACATGCAATTGAAAATCTTCCTATTCACTAAATATGCATTTTCATATGATTTTAAAGCTTGACATCCAATAAAAGCTGATACATTACTATTACTATTGATATCAGCTTTTAGACAAACAAGAATGGCCAACGTAGGTCAATGTAGATAAAAGTATCTTGTCTTAGGAAATATACACCCTTCTGTGTAAAAAATCACTCTGATTCAAACAAATAATTATCTTAAACTGACTTTACCAATATGATTGATTTCTTGATTGAGAACATATTTGTTATGTTTAGGGGACGCGTTTTTTTAACAAATAATCGGCATCCCCATGGCTACCAACTGTGCTCCTAGTCTTGTTCACTTGTTTCTTTATTCATATAAGGCAGACCTAATACAGGAACTTCTTAGAAAGAAAGAAAATTAGCTGTATCCTTTAACTTTACTTTGCGTTATAAAGATATGTTCTTTTGCTAGATAATTCAAATTTGGTGACTATGTTGAACGCATCTATCCAATCGAACATGATACAGTGACCTCTGCCTCATTTCTTGACTTACATTTAGAAATTGACAATGAGGGTCGGTTGAAAACAACATTTTCGACAAAAGAGATGATTCCAGCTTCCCAATTGTTATCTTTCTATTTTTGATGTACCGACATTCAAGCAGCGCCTGCATATATACATATGCAGATTGTATCATCTCCCAGTTGAAACGATATTCCAAGGCTTGTATTTCCTATCATGATTTACTAAATAGAGGGTTGCATCTTTTAAACCACGAGTTCGAAGTGGTGAAGTTGAAATCATCCCTTCGTAAATTTTAGGGAAGCCATCACGAATTGGTTGATAGCGGACATGCTCGTGTTGTTGTTACTACAATCATGTCGCCTTGTCCCCGAATAAGACCTACCGAATTAAATTAAGTACCGGGTGTGTACTTAAATGAGCAACATGACGGGTTCCAAATGATGAGCAGGATCTGCTTATCCTTCCGAATCACATGAGATCGCACCCAGTTGTTGCTGTGTTTCGTGTTGCTCAGTCTAGATTTTTTTTGTTAGCGTACTGTGGTTTGTCTTGTAGTTCCTTTCCTTTTTAGCAATGGTGTTATCGGTTTATTTTTTACTATGAATTTGAATGTCACTTTGGTAACTTTTGTCAGTCTTAAGCTAATATCTTCATTTGGATTTTTTATACGCGTACCCGTGTTTGATAATGAAAAAGAAAAACAATAGGAATGTTACACTTATTGCGATTTTACAAAACAACTGCAACGGTTGAAAACTTTACGACAGGGGTAACATGAAAGTAGCATGTTTATTCTAATTCGTGTCAATGTTTAGCCGTAAGTTATTTCAGTCCATTAAACTCTTACAAACTAGAGACTAAGCTGTGTTGACTAAGCTGTGGTATCTAGAATAGTGGACGATTGATTGAATAAAAACAGTTCATCTTCATTTATAGAATAAAGAGAAGTATAAACAGCCAAGTACCAAAAAACAATGATTCACCATACAAAGGTTTGATAAAACGCCTTTATTGAAAATATGTAAAGTACAATGAAGTAATCAGTATTAAAAAAAGACATTACACGGAAAGAAATTAACGCTATCGAATTAAATACCAGTGTTCATCAAGATTGCAATGTAGAAACAAATAGAGCTGTTACGTCCCGATATAATCAGAACATCCATGCCCAGATAATTTTTGTTTCATTTTTCATTGAAATAAGAGTGAACAATTAGGTTTACTGAACGAGTGAGGCTGTTTATCTTTTAATATTTTCTCTGTGTTAGATGTTTTTTTATAGGAAGATTATGAGCTATTATACTACATGAATACAGTCGTGCTTTTATGACGTGAAAAAAACAAGATACTCACTTTTCGTTACTCACACATTCATATAACTCATTACCCCATTGGTAGGTTTTATAACAATATTCACTTTCACCTGCAAATACCGAACAGATGATAGATAACATATTTCAATGAGGTTATCATAATCAAAAATAATTGGCGGTGCCTTTTTCTTACTGTAACTGCAAAAGTAGTTTTTATTCCATTTGTTCACATTGGATGTTTTTGTAATCCTTTTTAAGGCTGGTGAGTTGTCTATGAGGGATGTAAAATGAAGTTCATAGACCCATAGAGTTTGAATTTCAATTGAAGGGAAATCACACTATTTATACTACTAATAATAATTCATTGACATTTTGCATGAAAACAGATCATACTTATTACGAAATTTTAAGCGAAAAAAAATTGGGGTCACCAATGTTGTTTTCGGGATATGACGTAATCAATGTTTAAAGAATCGCGTGATACCGAAATATAGAAATAGCGCTCTAAGTTGCTAAAAAAATGCAAAATCATTATAAAACGATGTTTAACTGTGATAACGAAAACAGTCACAAGCAACTTGTACCTTATAGCCATTTATTTGTCTCAGTTTCCTTATTTTTCAAGGCCTTTGAATATTTCCCGCCATTTTTAATTGGTATTTATTATAGATTTTTCTCGAAGTTAAAAAATATCTTCTAATGAGTTTTCCTTCAAACTTCTGCAGAAGTTGCAGGCTCAGGGAAGATTTTAAAAACATAAATGAAAAAGGGGGGTCACCGATGTTTTAAAACCACTAAAACGGAAATAATCTAATTATCAAATTTTGGCGGGAACTATAACTTTTTCTTTTGACGTTATAGAACGACGTTCCTGGCATAGCAGCATTTCGTGCAACGCTTGCATCGGGATGAATTAAACCTTTTCACTACAAACTATAACATCATGTTTGGACATTTTTTAAGGTTTTTGATTATTCGTTTGTATTTTTATCAATCCAAGGGTCATCTAACGAATCGTTAAACATATAGTTACATAGAAACTTCCCAGATATACTATGAGTTAGAGTCGAAATTCTGGTAAGAGTTAAAATATTGAGATCCGATAAAATTAAGAGTAAGATTGCAATTTCTATTTCTGTTAAATGCATATTCTTTCATCACATGTATGTTTTTGTTTTTGTCCCGGCCGATAAAGCTGCTAATAATATTATTATTGTTTGACGTAAATTTTACATTGAGGTTCTGAAAAAAGAAATCACCAATTCACCAACATTCCAACTGACTCCATTTTCAGAAAACGACATCTGTTACAAACATAAACTTTTAGCTACCGCTTTACAAGCAGAACCAAATACAATGAAAGTCCCAACTATGTATTGGCTTCCGAAGCTACACAAAACACCTTACAAATATAGATTCATTTCGTCTTCAAGCCATTGTTCCACTACTAAATTGTCTATTCTTCTTACCAGTACACTTGGTACAATCAAAAACCTGATAATAAATTGTTCAAATAAGGCCTTCGAAAATAGTGGAATTAATTACTTTTGGAGTGTCAAGAACTCGTTGGAAGTACTTGATAAATTGCATGCATATATTGGTGATTTTGAATCTGTTCAAAGTTTTGATTTTTCTACCCTATATACCACATTGCCTCACATTCTCATTAAGAAAAAATTCACACACCTAATTAAATGGGCATTTAAAAAGTCAGAATGTGAATATATATGTTCAAACTCTTTTAGGTCATTTTTTAGTAGCAATAAACAAAAAAACTATGTCAATTGGACATGCTTTGATACTATATATGCCCTTGAATTTTTACTAGATAACATTTTTGTTCGCTTTGGAGATTCCGTATATCGTCAGGTTATCGGAATTCCAATGGGGACTAACTGTGCACCACTTATTGCGGACCTTTTTTTGTATTGCTATGAGTTACAATTTATGACAAAAATCAGTAAAGACCCATCGAAACAACATCTGATACACAAATTTAATAATACTTTTAGATATTTGGATGATATTTTGGCTCTCAATAATGACGACTTCAGTATGTATACTAAAGAAATTTATCCTGTTGAACTTACTTTAAATAAAGCTAATACTAACAATGACCACTGCCCTTTCCTCGATCTTGATATCTATATCATTAACGGAAAGCTTAATACTAAAATATATGATAAAAGAGATGATTTTTCATTTCCTATCGTTAATTATCCATTTTTAGATGGTGACGTTCCCTTGTCACCATCTTACGGTGTTTATATATCTCAACTTGTACGATTCGCTCGTGTATGTAACAATGTTTTAGATTTTAACGAGAGAAATGTATGTATTACTGAAAAATTATTACACCAGGGTTTTCGATATCACAAACTAGTCAAAACATTTACTAAATTTTATCATCGGTATAAGGACATCATTCGTAAATATAGCTCAACATGCAGACTTCTTATACGTTCAGGTATTTCACATCCAATTTTTTATGGAAATATTCTTTATAAAGCACAAAAATGTCAGTATTCACCTCTGAAACTAACAAAACCTTTAAATAGACTTATTAAGAAGGGATATAGTTACGATACTGTTGTCAGGTCATTAAAGATTGCATATTTTGGCGTTGATATTGATTCACTTATAGGGTCTTTGCATCTGCACTAAACACATTTATTTAAAAACCAGTTGTTGGCATGACACGGGTTATGTTCTTCTCATATATGTTATGATGGTATGATACTAAACCCCTAACGGGAAGGATTGTGCCTGATATTCATATGATGAAGACATAATCTTTCAATCAGTTTAATTGAAGTCTGGAGCTGGCATGTCAGTTAACTGCTAGTAGTCTGTTGTTATTTATGTATTATTGTCATTTTGTTTATTTTCTTTGGTTACATCTTCTGACATCAGACTCGGACTTCTCTTGAACTGAATTTTAATGTGCGTATTGTTATGCGTTTACTTTTCTACATTGGCTAGAGGTATAGGGGGAGGGTTGAGATCTCATAAACATGTTTAACCCCGCCGCATTTTTGCGCCTGTCCCAAGTCAGGAGCCTCTAGCCTTTGTTAGTCTTGTATTATTTTTAATTTTAGTTTCTTGTGTACAATTTGGAGTTTAGTATGGCGTTCATTATCACTGAACTAGTATATATATTTGTTTAGGGGCCAGCTGAAGGACGCCTCCGGGTGCGGGAATTTCTCGCTGCATTGAAGACCTGTTGGTGGCCTTCTGCTGTTGTCTGTTCTGTGGTCGGGTTGTTGTCTCTTTGACACATTCCCCATTTCCATTCTCAATTTTATTTAGTATGATATATATACTTTTTTTGCCAATAATGATCAATGATAGGTAAACGTCTAGACGAAATTTGAAATAACAGATTGATTGTTTGTGGCACTGTCAGCAGTCTCTGCTATGTCATGTTGGCTATTTTGTTTTTTTAAAGAACCAATGTATCCAGAGACAATCAGCTCCCTTTGTATTCAAAAACTGGTTGTCATTTTCAGTCATGATCGGAATCCGACAATCTACCTTTATCACTTTTGACATGCAAGTGATCACAGTGGGTGATTTGAACATGCACCTACATCTGAACTATTTGTTTTGGTTTTTTTTTTTCTTCATTGTTTTCTTGGCTTTTGCTAAACGTTCAGTGGCTAATATTACATGAATATCAGCACACAAACATTTTTCTATGAGTTGAATACTCTTTCACAAGACGGACCTTAATGTGATGGTTACAGTTGAGCAGTAATCTGTAAGACATGTTACCGTCTACATAAATACATGTGTGTGTGTGTTAAATGTTTGTCTTGTCGGAGATTTGTAAAGCCAAATATACAGTGTGGGATTTTTTGGTTGTTGAAGGCCGTACGGTTCCCTGTAGAAGCTTAGATCCACGATATTTGATACCTGGTAGATAGTTGTCAATTATGCCCTATCTTCTTATATCTACAAAGATATGTACCATGTTTATTTAGGTGCAGGCAAATTTTCATCTGTAGGACCCAAATAACTAGGCATAGTGTTTGATATTCCCAGATTGCTCTGATGTCTTTTTTCGAATTTGCTGGTTCCACAGTTCGCTAATTGACAGTTTGAAGGAATACTACAACATATGAAGACAAATGTGTGTGTTTTTTGTTGTTTTTTTTGGTGCCCAAATAATGTAACCCTGTACAAAGCATTAAAGAAAGATTGAGTATAATGTACTATATATGACGATGCTGAATTTTCTTTGATTTCGACAGCCTGCAACCGATGTAAAAGTGCAGATGCTTCTCTAACAGTAATTTTTAACTGGCGTTATTTTTACATACCGTTTGGTATTTCAACAAATATGATTACTCTACGAACCAGTCGTGTTGCTGTATTCGTGATGCCCCCTCCCCCAAAGAAAAGAAGAAAAAAAAAGGAAAAGAAGAGAGAGAGAGACGTTAGATACCAAAGGGACATTTGGGAAAGGTGAACGACACTTGTCTCATTACTGTCGTCACATGTGAAATAAATCAAATTTCAAACAGCACATCAAATATAAACGTCCAGTGACAAGTTAAATGCATATTCAGAACTAGAACATACTGAAGTATGAATTTTGACCCTTCTTTGTTATAACCTGACAGGCTGAGCCAGATAAATAATAATATGAAATGAAATTTTTGATGAATTATTTATATACATGTATTATAGAAGACTATAGTTATGACATTTCATGTGATATGAGAAAACTGACAGTCGAAACTCATTGTTCTTATTTACATCTCTCTGTTGAACAGAAAACTACAGATTCCGGAAGCTATACGCTTGCATGCTGTTACTCTTGATCTATTGTCAATTTTTTTTTTCAAAACATATACGCTGAATCCCACATACCGCATCGCGACGATACGCAGCCAACAGTTGTGCCATATCAAGACCAGTTTCGGCTATATTACTTGCCATACATTTAGTGATGATTTTTTTAATCCACAAGCCCTTGGAGTGTTGCATATCTTTTGTTTGTTTGTTTTACAGAAATAATATTTCTAATTAGGGATTCTGTATATCGTCCTAAAAATTTCGTTATAAGTATGATCTGTCTACATGCAAAATTTCAATGAATTATAATTAGCAGAATAAAAAGTGTGATTTCACTTTAAAGTAAAACGTCGTTTGCTTTCTTCTGCTGTAGTGCGTCCCTTCGAGCGGGCCGCTATTTTAGGAATCAGCGACCTTTACGACAGATTAGAAAACGACGACGTCATTATACGTTTACGACACTATAGCGGCGCCAAGAGCGATGCGTATAAACAATAGTGTGATTTCCATTTAAGAGAGATATTTCAAGCATTTTCAAGTAATTCACTGCATATAATTTGAACTGAAAATAAAAACGCTATGTTAAAATTTTAATGTTTTCCCTTTTTATTCAGCTTCTGCGTAGCTTCAATTTTGTTAATACATTATCAATAATAAATAAACACATCATAGATACCAGGATTGAAATTTTGTATATGCGCCAGACGCGCGTTTCGTCTACAAAAGACTCATCAGTGACGCTCGAATCAAGAAAAGTTAAAAAGGCCAAATAAAGTACGAAGTTGAAGAGCATTGAGGACCAAAAGTTCCTAAAATGTTTGCCAAATTCTGCTAAGGTAATCTATTCCTGAGGTAGAAAAGCCTTAGTATTTAAAAAATTTAACGTTTTATAAACAGTTAATTTATAATTATGACCAAATCAATGATAATTCATGTCAACACAGAAGTGCTGACTACTGGGCTGGTGATACCCTCGGGGAATAAAAATTCCACCAGCAGTGGCATCGACCAAGTGGTTGTAAATAAACTCATCATAGATCAAAATATAGTATCGTAGTTCCAGAGTTTTTTTAGTTTACTTAACAATCCATTACGATGCTACCCGATCACCAGACATTGATCCTGTGCTGATATGTAACACATGTATCATTGATGTGTCTTTTTTCTGTAAATGTGATGTCAATAAAACATCTGAATAATTGAACGCACGATATTTCTTTCTATCTTTATACATCTATTACCTCACCAATACATGTCAGAATTGTTTTTGTTTTTAGTTTATGAATGCCCATCCATTTATTTGTAGATTAACGCGTCATCTTGCGTTTTAAATCATAAGATTTTTTTATAAATAATTTTTATGATTTTTGATAAGACTACTCTAATTAGGCTGAATGCCTATATTTATATCTCTGGAAACATATTTCGAAACTCTTAAGTATGGTAGTCATTTTGTAATGGTAAATAACTTTCTCTGCCAATACTTTTTCAATATATTTACCTTCCTTTGCCATTTTAGTGTCTGTCTGCAATTGTCTTCTTTATCCCATATAAGCCGTTTGCAACTGAGCAGGTTTCATTTTCATTGATCAAATCACAATTAGGTACATTGTGCAAAAAAATTAAATACAAATAAAAAGAAAATTTATAATAATGACGATATTTTATATTCTGAATAACATAACTTTTCATCAGATTTTACACAAGGTCCATTATCCTACTTCTTTTACCTCTGATCATCACGGATAAGATTTATTTGATACTTCAGATCGATCAAAATCAGAAAAGTATACTAAAACATATACAATAATAAAGAATAAACGCAAATGTTGAAACTTTCAAAAATTGCTAACAGAGACTAACTTTGACTAGTCTATCAATAGTTATTCGAAAGTAACAAGGTGTGGAAGACCAACAGGTGGTACCTGTATCTATATCAAAGAAGCAACAACGGTGTAAAATGATATTCACCCTAAAACATGCTATTAGACGTGTTACGAAAAGGTAGATACTCGACGCTGAGATTGACAAACTAGAATTTAAATCTTGGGACTGTGTCAGAACATTAATTATCGATTTAACAGGTACAATTCAATTTGAGTGATGTTAACCAGGTATCCTACACACTTATTGGTACATTTAAAAGTTAAATAAACATTTAGAATAATCATTTTCTGATATCATTGCTTGTGATTTTAGGATAGGAAAAGTTATGTGTTTGCGGGGGAGGGGACGATGGTTTTTTCTAGTATGCACTTCGAGATTAGAACAAAATCAAATAATAAGCCAGTTTGATTTTTTACTTTATCAATCTGTCATTCCACTTCTGAACCTCGTCCTGAAAATGTAGGAAATATTTGTCACTGGACGAAAAACAAACAACATTCAATCAATCTCTGAAAAAAACCGCATAAAGCTTTACAGTTTGGTTAATTTTTTGGGGACGTTTCCATAGGTTTTCACTGACTTTTAAAGTTTGTAAGCGCCTAATAGAGAGTTCCACATATACTTGATACCCGAAAGATAATTAAAGTAAATTTTTACATTTGATTCTTTTTGCTCATGTTCTACGCGTAGCTCTTATGTTTATGGCGACAATAGAAGATAACGAACGGAGAACGACATGTGGTATTTATATTTTACCTAAATAAACATGACAAAATCCAGGGGAAATCTAATGTCATACCTGGCCAATTTAAGGCAGTAAATTAAACTGTAGAGCATCATCCTGTTGTCCTAGGAAACTACTGTGTGTGAACCTGATATGATTCTCATTGTAAAAAAAAAACTTGCGTAGGTATGCAGTGCTGGTATCTGGAGTAAAATTGTGCTCGAGGATCCGTGTATGGTATGAAAATGGCACAAAATTGCTGTATATTACCGCTAACGCTTTGGACATTTTAAGCCAGCCTCCCACGTAGTTGCAACTGGCGATAAACGAGTCACATTTTACATAGAACCATTTTAAGAGAGTTTAATTGAAGTTAAAACTTTTATGTTTTTGTGAAGATTTAGTTAGAGTTAGGTAATTAAGATGATCTGTAATATTCCATCTTCATGCCTCACATATCATGTACTGTGTTACGACGCTAGATAAGAACTGACGAGGAAAGGTAACACCCGGCCACCGAAAATCTTGACTGTTGTCGAGACTAGGTGGTCTAGTTGTCTAACGCGCCGGGCATAGTGCAAGTAGCATAAGTTCGAAACTCGGCCAGGGAAGCACAAAAATTGCTTCCGCACATTTACAGATCTAACATTGTTGGGCTGTTATTTAGACGAATTATATATATATATATATATATATATATATATATATATATATATATATATATATATATATATATCTTGGCATAGGAAAGTCACCGGCTAGGGGGTATTTTGATCAGTTATGTAGCCCTCGACATAATGTCACCTTTTGGACTGGGTACCTTAACTTTGAGATGATCTACAGAGAAAACTGTTAAGATTCTGAGCTTGAAAAATGTATTATTCGAAAGAGCAACATTTTAGAATTTCAAAACACCAAAAATTACTTTATAATGTTTTAGAATAAAAAAGTTATTAAACTTTTAATGGACCCACCCTCAATTTCGTATATATCCGAATTGGTACAAACGATAGTAAGGTGACCACCAATTTTAAACATGATTATTTATCAGAAAACCTACATATATCTTAATTTCTACAGTATATAATTGTATCTTAATGTATTCTTTAATTTCTGGACAACAAAAACCATTCCGGACCTAAGGCGTTTAAGAAATTAAAAGGATATATATCGAGCATGTGTATGTTCGCACTAAGAATTCAGAGAGCTTAAAAACATATATAAACATACGGGCATTTACATATGAGTGATAATGGCGGATACCTGAAGCGGTGACCTATTTCACATATTCTGCCTTGGAAAGTGATTTTTATCAACTGTGAATTCTTAATTTTAAGGTAAGTTTATTTTATTTCATTGTAGAATTCCAGCAATACCAATACAGTCTCAAATAATTATTGTATAACCAAAACAACAATGTCATTGACATTGACCCTCGTGTATTTTGATATCTTATCCCACTCTTGGTTTGTACGTTCCCTTATTTATTGCATCTCAATTCGACGTGTTTATTATTAAATAACTGAAGACAATCATTGAACGTGGCAAATTTAGTTTCGGCATTAAAATATGCTGCGTTTTATTAAAAAGGGGGAGGGATGAACATTGCGATAATAACCGAGTGTCAGTAAGAGTATAATACCGTTGAAAGGGGGCAAACAATGCAACGTCTATATATATAGCTACAAGACAAGTCTATGCATTAACCAAAAATGTAGCTCACAAATGTGGACAGAACCCGGGACCCCTGCCCCCATCCCCAAATGTATGCACCTTTGGAAGTGAAACAGTGTAAATTGGGATTGGGATGTGATCTTATTTCTACAGTTCTATGAAAATAGACAAGACTAAAATGAACAATAATAGTAAAAATTGTTAATCACAACTGATCTCAATAAAAACATGGCATTAACTACACATGAACTAAGTAACAATTCTTGCAGTGATTTTTATCATATCAAACGTCTTGGATAACATTTGTCTTTGTTATTTTCTGGGACGTACATATTGTCAATGATTGTTTATTGGTCACAGGAGTCGTTTCACAAAAAAAAAACTTATGACTAAGATTGATTGTAAGTCATGAACAATTCAGAATACTTACTATCAATCTTAGTCGTATGTTATTTTTTTTGTGAAACCGACTCCAGGTATATTTTGCATTGACAATGTTCTTCATTTATTTCAAAGATGAGCAACCAATTTCAAATGTTAGACCTGGGGACAGTATATCTATATATGTTCCTGGTTAGACTGCACATTTTAATACTGGACTGCATGTTTTCTATCAAAAGATTAAGTACTTTGAGCTTGCTTTCAGTGACTGTGCCAATGTTGGTTGTCTTTGTACTTGGTGTGTGCACTTCAATCCTTTAGTGGTAGGGTTTAACAGCTGAGACATCCATAACCCAATTTGATATCGTACATGTACATGTAGGTACATGTAACTACAAATTAATAGTAATTATTATACCTGAGATATCATATTCTTTATATATATATATAAAATAAGTACGCAATATTTTCACTATTTTTTAAATTGCAAGCATTGAACTATTTGACCGGTCAATAGTTTCCAACTATTGGACCTCAGTGAAACTATTCGACCACAAGCATCATTATTATTCATAGAATTTCAAATGCAGCCACGGGATTGGATGTTGAATGTTGAGAATATCGCAGGAGTTACAATGTCGCCTTTTACCTATTGTATCTAGGGTTCATGTTAGTGCGGGACGTAGCTATAGATTTCAAAATATTATATTTGATTAAACGTTAAAAACAGTGGTTATGTTTCTGCTTTTTATATTGCTATAGTTGATTTAGCCCCGACATTTATCGTCTGTTGTGTCTTTCCTAATAAAAATACATTTACTTACTGGTAATTGTGGGATAGTAAGTTTATTGTCCTCTCAGATACAACTATTGGCCTCGGCTACGCCTCAGGGCAATAGTTGCACCTCAGGGGACAATAAACTTACTATTCCACTAATTCCCTATTCAATAAGTAAAAAATGTGGTGTATATGTCAATGAGACAGTAACATGGGTTACTGAACCACACAAATAACCAAGCGACATTAATTTAACAACGTAGAGTCTTTAATAATAGCCAAGAGTATATACATGTATAATCTGTCAAAACCTATATCGCACCAAGTCTATATAAATTGTAAATCATTATCTGATTATAACAATAGGAGTCTAAGAGTAAGACCTGCCATCAACAAAAGACCATTAAGATATCAACTAACACAACTATTGATGAGGTTCCTGATTTTGGACATGAACATGACCAAAATATGTGGTGGGGTTAGACAGATTTTGGATATCTCAACCTATAGACTTGATCAGTTGCTTAATAAAAACTAAAAACCAATGTTGCTTTCAGTGACTGTGGGTTGTCTTTGTACTTTATGTACAAACGTACTTGGTGGGTGCACTTCAATGCTTTTGTGGTAGGGTTGTCTAGCTGAGACATCCAACACCCAACCCTTTTCATATATTTTAAATGTTAAAACAAACATATCCTATCATGTATTTTTTACATCAAGTAGACCTATAACTATCATGATTAGTCTTTTTCATAAAGAGATTTAATATATTTTACAAAGATCTAATGCAGTTTAGTCATGACATGGTCATGTTAGTGACATCTTCACATTGATTTATTAAAATATTCATAAATAAATATTAAAATAATGTTAAAATTGGAATTGACCTCTGATAGATTTACATGTTAATTGATACTGTAAATTCAGAAATTATTGCATGCATTTATTATTACGATTTTGTCATTTTGGACTCAAATGCGATTTTAATTTTTGCGATATTGAGAAAAATCCTGTTTAATTAATAAAAAAATTTCAAAATGCGAGTTTAAATTATTGTGATTATAACCCTGTTGCATTTTTCGCAATAATAAAAACATTGCAATAATTTCTGAATTTACAGTATGAAATTATGTTACAAATATAAAAAAGAAGATGTGGTATGATTGCCAATGAGACCACTCTCCAAAAGAGACCAAATGACACAGAAATTAACAACTATTGGTCACCGTACGGCCTTCAAAAATGAGCAAATCCCATACTGCACAGTCAGCTATAAAAGACCCCGAAATGACAATGTAAAACAATTCAAACGAGAAAACTAACGGCCTAATTTATGTTCAGAAAATGAACGAAAAACAAATATGTAACACATAAACAAACGACAACCACTGAATTACAGGCTCCTGACTTGGGACAGGCACATACATACCGAATGTGGCAGGGTTAAACATGTTAGCGGGATCCCAACCCTCCCCTAACCTGGGACAGTGGTGTAACAGTACAACATGTACAACATAAGAACGAACTATAAAAATCAGTTGAAAGAGGCTTAACTCATCGGATGGATAAAAATACAAATACTACAAATACAAGTGGACGTGGCCGGGTACTTGTACATCCAAACAACAAAAAGACACTAAGAACAGATCTGAGAGTACTCGCAGTTACTGACAGCTAGTTCAAAGCCACTATAATCAACTAATAAAAAATAATCATGCAGCTTAGACTAAATTATCAATCCGTACACATCCAACATCCAATGGATTTAGTGTAAAGATGTCATAAACAGTCAGAGAAAAACATGACCTTGTGCAATGCCAAGATACAGGTAATGGTATCTACAGATTGTAGATCCATGAATGTGTATATGTATATAACAATAATATTTAGTTTGCTTTTAATTTACTGATAACAAAATCAATATTAGTACCAATAAAAACAATATTTAATGATCTAATTACAGTGTTGAATTGGTAACCTTTTAGAAAGAGTTTATTTCACGGATCAATAAGTTTACCAGGATTGTTTCTAAATTTTCGGGCACGGTAAACAATAGTGCCGTAAAATGAGAATGTGCAATCCTGTTTGAAATAAGTTTTCTACAGGTACAACCAAACTTCAAAACCAAATCTTTATATCTGTGGAAGAATTTAGTAAAGGTTTTAAGTAATTTGTGGTAACGAAATCCCTGGCTTAATAATTTACCAGCAATACATAGATTACGTTCTTTAAAATCAAAAACGTCACAAAAGACACGGGCATAGCGAACGAGTTGTGAAATATATTCACCGTAAGATGGTGCCAAAGGAACATCACCATCCAAAAAGGGAAAATTAACAATAGGGAACGAAAAATTGTCCCTTTTGTCGTAAATTTTAGTGTGGAGTTTCCCGTGTAAAACCAAAATATTTATAAGGAATATGTTATTTTTATTTTTTAGTTCCTTTACATTTTGTATATGTTTATATAGCTCTTCAAATGTTTTGGTTCTTAGTTATACATCCTTGGCTTTCAAATATTCGGCTTTCAGTGTTCCCGAGGAAGGTAAATCCAAGAAAGCTCTTTAGATGTTTAGATGCATGAAATTTATAACATGTTGTTTTTTCTATCTTTTCATCAGTGATGCTCAAATAAAATAAACTGCTTCGCTGAGCGCAGCTGGATACGCCCACAGAGGTCCAGCCCTGAACAGTTGGGGCAAAAATGGACACAATATTCAAGCTTGATACAGGGCTTTGTTTTGATTGTATTAAATATTTGACATATTATAGGTTTCTGAATAAATGTAGTTAGAGAACATGAAATTGGTTATATGAATTGAATTTATATTCAATTAAAGATTTCTTGCTGTTGTGCATTACACTGTGCTGTTGCGCAATACTTAGTAAATCTGTTGTTAGACTATAAACAATTAAAGTTCAATTAATTCTCAATGTCATATTAGAAATTTATGAAAATGTAAAGGGAGCTTACATCAATAGATATACATGTAAACAATTCACCAAAGTTTCATGAGAATTGCTGACAGCATTTTTGAGTTATTGTCTGAAAACTGGAAAATCCCCCCTTTTTTAATGAATAAAACCCCATAACTCAGATATGTAAAATGTAAAATTTATAAAATTCTAAACAGAGCTTACATCAATAGATATAAACAATTCACCAAAGTTTCATGAGAACTGCTGAAAGCATTTTTGATTTTTTGTCCGAAAAACTAGAAAATCCCCCTTTTATTATGAATAAAACCCTGTAACTCGGAAACGTAAGATCTGAAATATATAAAAATCGAAAGGGAGCTCATGTCAATAGATATAAACAATTCAACACAATTTCTTGCAAGTTGGTGAAAGCATTCTTGAGTTATTGTCCGAAAACTGGAAAATCCCCCTTTTTTTAATGGATAAAACCCCATAACTTGGAAACGTAAAATCTAAAATTTATAAAAAAAGAAATGGAGCTCACGTCAATAGATATAAACAATTCACCAAAGTTTTATGCAAATTGGTTAAAGTGTTTTTGAGTTAATTTCCGACATGTTGACGACGGACGGACAGACGGACAACAGTATACCATAATACGTCCCGTAAACGGGCGTATAAAAAGATAAATCAGGTTGTCCCAGCAACCATCTGGGAATTCTAGAAAATTCTGTGACAAAATATAATTTCATCCATACAGCATGAACTATAGTAACATAGCTCATTCCTACCACTTAGTACATAGTACATGTAAGTGTGTCTTTGTTTAACCCTACAACATTTGAATATATCTCCATAATAAGGGATCTTGTCATGGGTTGCCTTGTGTTCTTCCTGAATGCTTTTGTTTTACTTTTTAGGCTTTGGACAATTTAGAATTGTAGAGCTTGACATATTCACTTGCATGATCACCTTTCTATTGTTGAAGACTTTATATTGCCTTAGAGAGAATTTTGTTTGTTTGTTGGATTTGTACATATATTTTTAAACCACATCTTCTTTTATTCACAGGTACATGTATGATTTAACTTTACTAACTTATATGTCATGTATGTATCTCAAAATTTAATTAGGTACCAGTAGATTTATTTTTTTTTTAAATCTTCCTTTAACTTTTCAATAAAAACTAGGAAATTAGCTAGACCTATAATATAAGACTTCGAAGGTTTATATCATTTTAGATTCAACGTTTTTTATCCAATATTTTTTTTTTACTATCAATGTTGAACCTCAAAAAAAATATACAATAAAAATCGTTGAACATGTTGAATGTAAATGATACAGAGGCGGATTTAGAGGGTTTTTCAGGGAGCCCAGGCCCCCCTTTTGTTGGAAAAATTTGGTTGATTATATAGGGAATCACTGAAGCATGACTGAAGCGGGCCCTCTTATGAAAATTTCTGGACCCGCCACTGTGATATGAACCTTCAAAGTCTTATATTATAGGACTAGGAAATAAGCATGTTAAACAGTTTAAAAAACTTCAACAATTTTTGTTAATCCCTTTGTTAATTTTCCTTTTTCTGAGGCAGTGATTTCCTTTGGCCTTTTATCAGGGGTGTTTATGTATTTTACAACAATTTTGCTAAGCCAGTGCCTGTAATAGATATATCTGTGTATCACTGGTAAATTATTAAGTCAGGGATTTCAGTACCACATATTTCTTAAAACCTTACTCAATTTTTTCAGAGACTTGGTTAAAAAGTTTGACTGTACATGTAGAAAACTTACAAATTCTGAGTTTTATGGTGATGTTGTTTATATAATCTACATGTATTGAATTTTTATACCATCCATTTGAACTTGTCAATTCTTGGTGGATGCTTATTAATGTATAAAAGGTTATCTATTAAGCTATGTCATGTCTTTTGGTGTTGGCCTTGATTTTATTTTTTTTTTTAAATGAGAGCATAAACTAAATATGATTTTCTATACTGTTATGAACACTTACAGTCCTATACATGCAAATGGTTAAGAGGTTTGGTAGCATGTTTTCTGGATGTGCTTATGCTGTCCCAAGTCAGGAGCTTATGGGTCAGCGGAAGGCTAAGTGGGTGTCTATGGTATTTGATTTTCATGTTTAGTTTTGTACATTTATAAATCAGATGTTGAATTTCTCATACTGATTCAACATTGATAGTAAAAAAAAATATCTGATAAAAAACGTTGAATGCAAATTTTATGAATCTTCGAAGTCGTATATTTATATAGGACTTAGAAATAAGCATGTTAAACAGTTTAAAAAACTTAAACAATTTTTGTTCCTCTTTGTTAATTTTCCTTTTTTGGAGGCAGTGAAATTTCCTTTTGCCTTTTATCAGGGTCACGACGGTTTATGTATTTTACAACAATTTTGCTATGCCAGTGCCTGTAATAGATATATCTGTATCACTTGTAAATTATTAAGTCAGGGATTTCGGTACCACATATTTCTTAAAACCTTACTCAATTCTTTCAGAGACTTGGTTAAAAAGTTTGACTGTACATGAACAAAACTTACAAATTCTGAGTTTTATGGTGATGTTGTTTATATAATCTACATGTATTGAATTTTAATACAATCCATTTGAACTTGTCAACCCTTGGTGGATGCTTATTAATGTATAAAAGGTTATCTATTAATTTAAGCTATGTCGTGGGATCTTTTGGTGTTGGCCTTGATTTTGTTTTTTTTTTAAATGAGAGCATAAACTAAATATGATTTTCTATACTGTTATGAACACTTACAGTCCTATACATGCACATAGTTAAGATGTTTGGTAGCATGTTTTCTGGATGTGCTTATGCTGTCCTAAGTCAGGAGCTTATGGTTCAGCAGAAGGCTAAGTGGGTGCCTATATGGTATTTGTTTTTCATTTTTAGTACATTTATAAATCAGATGTTGAATTTCTCATTTATATTATAAATAACATAAACAACCAAAATGATGAAGATAATTGTAAACTTTATACATAAAATAATATAAACACCTTTAAATATTGGATATTAATTAAAAAAAAACTATGTTTCAAACCTCTGTCGAAACTTTACCTTAGATTAACTTGCTATTTCTTGTAGGTCCCTTTTGGTCTTATGCTCTTTGTATGATCAGGTACTAATAATACATCCTTGCAACGTCTTGGCTGTCAAAGGGTTTGTTTGCACTGGGTATTCCTGTTGACAGGTCAATCCAGGAAAGTGCCTCAGTCACACAAGATTTGTAAAGTATTCAGTTCTTTTCAGAGTAGTTCAGCTACTGGCAAACTGTTAATCCATTTAATATAAGGACTTGTCCTCTGTATACAGGAAATATTTGCCATTGGATTTTAAGCAAACAGTAGTCAGTCCATTGATGTTTAAAAAAAATCCCCCTACTTTTCCTTCTTACTAACTTAAGCTAGTCTCCTGAAACAAAACAAAAAGACCTCTCAAGCATTATCAGATTGTATAAGAGTTATATGCCATTGATTATATAGGGAGAGTTTTAACTCTAAATATTTCAGTAATAAAAATGTGTATCCATTTTTTTCTCTTTTCCACTAGTCCCTTTTGGTGCTACATGTACTATTTTACATAAAACTTTGCACTGTAACATGTTAGGCGAAACATGCAATATCTTCTTCTTCTTCTTCTTCTTCCGAATACGGGAGTAGACTCCTAGGTAGGAGTGTAAAACTTCCCGGAACTTGTGTGCTATGTACATATGGACTTAATTTAAAAATAATATGACAAAGAAAAATCATTAACAATAACATATATACATTATGTACAGTGGCTTTGTAGTTTAATAAGTTGTTGTGGCTCCTTCAAATGTTAGAGTGGATATGCCACTTTTGAAGGATTCCAGGGTGTCAGACATACCTATTGCTTCAGGTAGTGAGTTCCAGTCCGAAATAGTGCGAGGATAAAAAGAAAATTTATAGAAATCTTTATTTGTTGATATTTGCCTAAATTTATGTTTCCCCCTAGTACGTCTATCAGATATTGTTAAATTGTCCTTAGGAACTTCCACTAACCCCCAATTTATTTTATATAGCATAGTTAATCTAGCTTTTTTCCTTCTTATTTCTAAATTTTCCCATTCCAATGATTTAATTAAATTTGAAACTGCTCCAGGTGATCTGTCTTTATAATCATTGAAGACAAACCTGGCTGCTTTACGCTGTACCTGCTCAACCTGAGTGATGTGTTGCTTTTTGTACGGATCCCATACAGGGGAAGAGTATTCGACGACTGGACGGACAAGTGATGTGTACGTAAAGTTTTTAACCTTACGTGTGCAGTTTTTTAAGTTCCTACGAAGAAAACCTAAGGTTTTATTTGCCTTACAGGTAATATTGTTTATATGTGTTCCCCAATCAAGATCATGGCTTATAGTTACGCCTAAATATTTACTGCTTCTAAAACATGATTGTGCAATATATAATCAAAAGTGGAAGGTTTACTTTTTTTAGAAATATGAATAACATAACACTTCTCAGGATTAAAATTCATTTGCCAGTCCTCTTCCCATTGTACTAAACTAGATAAATCTTTTTGAAGTAATTTGGCATCAGAACTATTATTAACATTTCTATACAATAAACAGTCATCTGCAAAAAGTCTTGCATTGCAAGTTACATGTTCGGGTAGGTCATTAATAAAGAGTAAAAATAATGTTGGGCCTAAAACTGTTCCCTGAGGGACAGCAGAATCAACAGCTAATTTTGAAGATTTAACACCATTTAATAGTACCTGCTGTTGCCTGTCAGCTAAAAAGTCATTTATCCAATTTAAATTTTGATTCCTAATACCATAAAAGTTTAATTTCTGGGCTAATCTTTGATGGGGGACTTTATCGAAAGCTTTGGAAAAATCTAAAAGTATAACATCTATTTGGTTACCATATCCCAATGATTTTGCAAGATCTTGTAAACTGATGATAAGTTGGGTCTCACAAGACCTTTTACTTCTAAACCCATGTTGACTATCATTTAATATGTTATTAATTGTAAGATGTTTCCTTATGTTGCTTGTTATAATGTGTTCTAGAATTTTGCAACATATTGCAGTTAGTGAAACTGGTCTATAATTAATAGCGTTATGCTTGTCACCTTTTTTAAATATTGGTACAACATTAGCCTGCTTCCAATCAGTTGGGATTTTACCAGTATCAATAGATTTTTGGAAAAAGAATGTCAAAAATGGAGACAATTCATCTGCAAAGTTATGTAAAAAATATGCTGGCAGATTATCAGGGCCAGTGGCTTTGTGTGGATTTAAGTTTTTAAGTAACTTTAATAAGCCATTATTACTAATAAATATGTGTGGCATAGTGGGGTGGGGACTTGTACCTTTATTTGGCATAGAGGATGTATCTTCGGTAGTAAAAGCCTTTTTAAATTGTTCATTTAGGATGTACGCTTGTGTATTCGGCTCACTATATAATAAGCCATCCTTTCCTCTTAATGGTGAAACACCAGATGTTTCTGTTTTTTTACTTTTTATAAATTGCCAGAAAGATTTAGGTTTGACTTCTAACTGGGGGCTAATTATTTCTTGCATGTACGTGCTCTGGGCTCTTCTTATTTCTCTTTGAGCAGTAGCTTTTAACTTTTTATATTTATCTTTATGTTCTTGTTTACCAGTTTTTTTAGCTTTGTTGTAAGCTTTACGTTGTTTTTTACATAAATGGTCTATATCCCTATTTGCCCAAGGGTTGGTGTACTTAGATTTAGTTATTTTGCTTGGTACATTATCATCTATTATTTTATTACTACCTTCTTTGAATTTATTCCATAATTGGTCAATATTTAAATTTTCATTAGCCTGAGATATAAGTTCAGATATAAAATGAGATGTTATGTCTTTTATCTTTTTAATATCAACCTTTTTCCATAAATAAATTTTATGTTGTGATTGTTTAGATCTTTGGGGCTTGCAGATTGCATCCACTAATACAATATCATGGTCAGATATACCTGGTATGGATTTTATTTTTGTTATCAATGCAGGTTGGTTTGTGCAGAAAAGGTCAAGGATATTATCTTTCCTAGTTGGAAAATCAACCATTTGTTCAATGCCTAAGTTGTTCAGCATATCTATAAATGCTTCATTCAGCTCCTTAGTATACAATGAGCCAGATATATTTTGTTCCGGCCATTTTATGTCTGGAAGGTTAAAGTCACCACCAAGCCAGAAGGTGGAATTTTTAAATTTTAATTTAAGTTCATTAATTTCAATGATCATTTGTTTGAGATAGTCTATATCATTTTTATTTGGTGGTCTATATGCAGAAATAATAACTAAGGATTTAGTATCAGTTATATTAATTTGGGCAGCAATAAGTTCTACATTTTTGCTTTTATATACTTCTTGGCAAATAATACCTTTTTTAATGGCGATTTAAATACACCTCCACCTTCTTTTCCGACCCGGTCGTTTCGGAATACATCTTCAAATAATGTGTTTGGAAAAATTTCAGAAGATAATACATCTTTGTTTAACCAAGTTTCATTACCAATAATAATATCTGGTTTAGATGACGTTAATAAATTTTCAATTTGAGGAACTTTATTTTTACAACTTCTAAAATTGATCTGAAGAACTCTTAATGAGTTTTGTCTATTAATATTCTTATTTTTTAATTGCTTCGTTACTGGTGGTTTTGGTGATGATGTAGCAACTGGGTCTCCAAAATTTTCATGATTATCATTTATATTGAAGCTTAAGGAAAAAGCTGAACTATCAGAAAGTACTGAATATGAGTTAGGGTTCAAAATAGAATTACCTGATGAGAGGTATGATTGAAAAATGGTTCTAGAGTGATTAGGAGTATCACATATCGGGCATATCCAAAGTGCTGATGAATTTCCAAACTTTTCATAGATGGACTTATATTTACACATCCAATATGACACCATTTATCGCAGTTATCACAAACAATAGCATCACTGTCCCAGGTACACTCATGCGAGCAAATAGAGCATGGATAACTGGAGTCGTTCAAGTTTGATGGGCCAGGGTTGGTTTCAACCTGGTTGCTTAAAAGAATTCTAATCAAAAGATGAATGTGGCGATCTGATTTGCCAAAAACACATCTATTTTTAAAATTGGACACATGCAAGTGCCAGTAATAAATCTGGGTAGATACCTCAATTGTTGTGTCACATTGAAGGCTGATAGTGATACCCTCATATTTGTTGGATTCTAGTATATTATTTTGTATATTAGACTCATTAACTATGCTCAGAAAAATAAAAAATGTTGAGCAAATCACGACTAAGCTATGTTTAAACATTTTGACAGAGTCTAAGTGTCACAAATATATAATCAGTGAAGAGAAGGATGGTGACTCTCATACACATTCATAACATGTTTAATAAGACAGTTAGTAGTTGATGACAAATTAGATCTTCGTTCCTTGGGCGACTCAAGGACACAGGATAAACACACTAGGAAGCCATATTATATAAGGTGTAAGGATTGATAGATAGGATATTATTACCTATTTAATCACAGAGACTCTGTTTGACGATCAAAACAAAAACAAACAAAAAAGTAAACCGGAAGTGGTTTACACTGTTTACATATAAGGAAAATAATTTTCCCGCCACTGTTCAAATGTGAATCAAAAATTTACGTATACAAATATTTTAATTTACAAGGAAATATCAAACTTATTGATAATTTCATACACACAATGACAAATGTAAGCCAAATATTGATGTAATAGCAAGTTCCGGGATTTATTACTCTAGAAAAAGCTGTAAGTTCCAAATATTTTTGAGAGCTGCAATTTAGACGTCCATTTCCTAGCACATGCGCACACTGATATCATATATATTTTCATCTTCCTTGGTTGAAGTTCCTTCCAAACATTTTAAACAGGTTCTAGTGTGTTGATTTGCTTGTGAATTGAGTTATGGTAAATAAAGTACATGTATATGTACCATAGATTTTCTATGACATCTCAAATAATTCATGTAATTTGGAATAAGTGTAAATGTAGACTTGAACTTTTCTGATCAAAAGAAGTGCTCCTTTGAATGAGGAATACAGATTAGCAGAAAACAAAATTTTAATCTGACTTTGAATTTATTTGTATTGCTTTGTATTTAAAAACATTAAATTAATGTTTTACTTCAATAGACATATTTACCTTTTGTTTACAGTTTTCATCACACAAAGGTCACGTGAGGTCGTGTTTAGACACAACAAATTTGCATACCATTACCACTGCGCCTGTGCGGAAATGGACATTTATGTGCCAAAAAAAACAACAGTAACGTTGATCTCAGACAACATTGTCTCCATATTTTATTATTTACTAGAATGATTGGACAGTTGAAAACCCGACTTGTCGCATCAATTAATACAATCATGATTTAGCCAAATAGTAAGTAAGAGTATCTGTCACTACACTATTTAGAAAAGTCGATCAACTTGATTCAAAGTAAATCCATTTCAGGCATAATAATATTAATATTTTGTTGAAAATCTGGCCTTTTACTTGACCATGATTGGTCCAAACCCATTACTTTATCCTTTACCGACCTTACTCTATCCCATCTACTTCTGCTTCTTCCATATAGTGACCCCCTTTCTTTTATAACAACTGAACAAGACAGATTTATATTATACAGACTATTTCTGTTTAAAAAAGGAAAAAGGAATATTTCAAATGTTTGATGTGAATAATGTGACTTAATATTGATGTTTTGAAATTTTTGATTGTTATTTTAACCCATCTTGCTGCCGGAGGGGCACATGTGTCCACATCAGCTGTGCTGGAGCTATACACTCCATGGTTTTTTTGTATGCAAGCTTCTCACTATAACATGTATTACTGTATCTCTTTCAAGTAAAAGACCGAAGATTAAACAGTGAAGTATGTTTCTTCAATGGCTTCCAAATGAAGCAGTCATTAGGGCGTGGTATAATATCGAGTGACATCACAAAGGTTGAGCTGTCATATTTTCTGGTACACGAAATGCAACCTTGTAAAACTACTGGCAGCTGCCAGAGGGTTCAACTTCAAGAGTTTAACCCTCTTACTGCTGGAGGGACATATGTGTCCTTATCTACACAGGGACACGTGTCCATGTTTTAATTTATGCAAGCTTCTCACCTTTGCTCTCTTATAGTTTCAAATAAAAGACTGAAGATGAAACTAATATTTTTCTTCAATGGCTCCCAAATGTAACTGTCTTTAGAGTGTGACGTCTAATATGGAATGATGTCATTGCTGGGCATGTGACATCACAGACGTCTAGCTGTAGTATTTTCTGGCACATAAAATGCAATCTTAAAAAAACTGCTGGCAGCAAGAGGGTTAATGATGTTATGGGGTAGTTTGCTCCAGTCAGTTTATATTCTTTGGGAAGAAAGATTCTTTTATGTTCTGTGTTGTGCAGGGTGGAATACACCAATCTTGAGATGTTTTTATGAATGAGTTACATTGATTGACCAGAGGACAATTAGGTTTGAAACAACATCATAAAACAATTGGTTCTTACCGTGAGACGTATTAACCTTAGCATTGTGACATAAGAAATTTACAGGAAAGTGCACCAATTTGATACTTGTCTATTGTTTTAAATTTGTGATAAGATAAGTTAAGGAGGAATGGCCGAAACCTCTTATGCTTATGTTAAGTCAAGCATATTTGGTATGCAGTTGTATAAGCATTTGCAAGTCTCTTCAATGGAAATTATATGGCCCCCTCCCCTCATCATGGTTCATTGACTTTGAACTTTATACTTTGTTCACATGTAAAGTTTGAGTTTTGGGGAACAAGCACCACTTAATTAAGATAAGCCAATAGTATTTGGTATGCAATTTTATAAGCATGAACATTTCTCATTTGCATGGAGTTTATATGGTCCTGCACAATAAGTCATGGTTTATTGACTTTGAATTTTTTGCATACATTGTAGTTTACATGTTTAAATGTGTATATACAGGGAATATAATATTTGCATTATACTACCAAAACTACAATAAGGCGATACATGTACATATCTATATATATATAGCAATAAAGATTGGAGTCTAACGCCTGTTACATGCAGGATTCAACCTCAGAACCTCAGTACTGACAAGCTAGTGATACAATAGTTGGACCGCTTAGACCATTTCGGCCACTTAGGCCCCTTTCATTCATTAAAGGAAATTGATTGTTTGGATTTTATACTTACAAAATATCTTAAATCATCTTAGGCTTGATGGCAGAGGGCTTCATCAATAAATTACTCTTTACCAAGTTGAAAAAAAAACCCAGAATTTCTAGCATAGACTTCAAATTGAGAATGGAAATGGGGAATGCGTCAAAGAGACAACAACTTGACCAAAGAGCAGAAAACAGCTGAAGGCCACCAATTGGTCTTAAACACAGCGAGAAAAGCCTGTACCCAGAGGCGTGCTTCAGCTGGCCCATAAACAAAATTGTGTACTAGTTCAGTGATAATGGACAGCATACTGTTCAAAAAAGAAACTGACATACAGAAATGTATCTTAGAGATTTTTCAGGGCAAACAGATGTGTTTCCAATTTCCTTTTACTAAATACAAACACACATAAACAAACATATGACAAATATTTAACATTTACAAAAAATATTAAAATGTTCATCATGCCGCCTGTTTAAATTAGCATTAAATGATTATATTTAGAATAAATACAGCAAACTCTATTTTATTCATTCATGTTACCTATGATGTTGGCCATGCACCCACTTCCAGCTGTTTGCTGATTGTTTTAAATTTAACTAGACTCATTCTGCCAGAAAAACTTTCAGCAAAATTTTCTTGTCTTTATCATGTTTATTAAGGAAAAAATTTAAAATTTGGTCTGCTGCTTGATAATGTTGAGTCGTAGTGAGCAAACAATTGATTTTTACAGCAGACATGATTCACTTCCTGTTTGCTGATACATGTACATGTAGTTTGAAATTTTACAATACTCATTGTACATGGAAAATTTTCGTCAAACTGTTTTTGTCTCCTTACATGTATGACCAGTTACACATCAGTATATATCGTGTATATATGTTACCTCAATCAATTGCATGCAGCATGTCCAGACCTGGTTTTGGTCTTGTTGATATTTTACTAATATAAAAGTGTGTGAACTTATAAATTTAAAAGTAGTAGCAATAGTACAGAAATTATATTTTAACTTTTAAGGTTTTATTTTTGTATTGTTCTGTACGATTTTTGTTTGTTTTCAGGAACAGGATAAAGTATTATCAAATGAATTAACAATATGAAAGTTGCCTGCAAATTCACTGGGTTGAGTAATGTGACAGACAGTTTAATTAAATCTTCTGCACTTTTCTCATTCCATTGGTATGCATTTTACAACAAGATGGTAGATGAACTGAAGTTATAAAGCTATGTGCCAGTAATGATCTCTATGAAGAAGAAATTTGTAACCCAAAGAGTAACTTGAAAACACATAAAATAGTGTTCCAGTATTCAGAAACATATGTATACATTTGTATATGTTTTTATGCCCCCACCATAGTGGAGGGGGCATTAAGTTTTACCCTTGTCTGTCCGTTGTCTGTACGTCCATCAGTATGTCTAAAAGTTGGTTTCCCTTCTATAACTTTAGTTTGCCTCAACCAAATGTTATGAAACTTATACACAATGCATATTACCACAAAACACAGATCAGGTTTGAATTTTGGTGGTCTCACTTTAACCGTTCCAGAGTTATGTCCCTTTACAAATAGAAAAATTGCTTAATTTTTTGTTTCCTTCTCTTACTTTAGTTTGCCTCAACCAAATGCTATGAAACATTATACACAATGCTTATTACCACAAAATACAGATCAAGTTTGAATTTTGGTGTTGTCACTTTTACCATTCTAGAGTTATGCCCCTTTAAAAATAGAAAATTGCTAAATTTTTTTCGTTTCCATTCTCTAACTTATGTTTATAGCTATCACAAAACTCAGATCAAGTACAAATTTGGGTATCGTCACTTTTACCGTTCTTCAATTATGTCCCTTTAAATTATAATTTTATATGATATGCAAGCGGGGGTATCGTCTGTGTCCAATTGACACATTCCCCATTTATTTATATATTGTGTTTGTTTTACTACTGTGGTTGTCTTATATTTGTCGAGGCAATGTGAGTTGACATAGCAATCCATCATTCTGTTAACAGCATTATCAACAATTTATGCTCAGTCTGTTGTGTCAAATCTCTCTGAAACATCAGTGTTATAAAGAGATAGCATTTTGAAATACAATTTTATAGCTCACATGGCCAATGCTTTTCTCATCACTTGGCGTCCGTCGTCCTCGTCCGTTAACTTTTACAAAAATCTTCTCTGAAACTAGTGGGCCAAATTTAAACAAACTTTGCCACAATCATCATTGGGGTATCTAGTTTAAAAATGTGTCCGATGACCAGGCCTGCCAACCAAGATGGCCATCATGGTTAAAAATAGAACATAGGGGTAAAATGTAGATTTTGGCTTATATCTCTGAAACCAAAGCATATAGAGCAATCAGACAGGGGTAAAATTGTTCATCATGTCAAGATCTATCTGCCCTGAAAATTTTCAGACAAATCAGTCAACTTGTTGTTGGATAGCTCCCCCTGGTAATTTTAAAGAAATTTTGCAGTTTTTGGTTATTATCTTGAATATTATTATAGATAGAGATAAACTGTAAACAGCAAAAATGTTCAGCAAAGTAAGATCTACAAATAAGTCAAACATGACCAAAATGGTCAATTGACCCCCTTAAGGAGTTATTGCCCTTTAAAGTCAATTTTTAACAATTTTTTCTAAATTTTTGTAATCTTTTAACTTCATAGACAAATTCATTTTTTTAAAATGATAAATGGGTTGAAAGCAGTTAAAATCAAACGAAAGATTAGATTTTGATCCACACAGATTCTTTTTAAAAAAGTATAATTGTTGCATTGTTTCATACATCAATCGTAAACAAAAATATCATGTGAGCGACACAGGCTACTTGGAGCCTCTAGTTTTTATACGACCACAAAATTTTTTTGGGGTTCATATAATGCTGTGATGTCATCTTCATCTTCTGCGTCGTCGTCCGAAGACACATGTGGTTTCCGGACAATAACTTTAGTTTAAGTTAATGGATCTATGAAATTTTTTAAGAAGGTTCAATACCACAAAAGGAAGATTGGGATTGATTTTGGGGATGATGATCCCAACCGTTTAGGAATTAGGGGCCCAAAAAGGGCCAAAAACAAGCA